GTGACGCAACCGAATGCGGAAATTATTGAATGATATCATTAATATCTCACGCAAGTAAAATTTTGCTGAAGATCATTCAAAAGCGGCTGTAGAAGTATATCAACAGGGAACTGCCAGAAATTCAAGCTGGATTCAGAAGAGGACGTCGAACCAAGGATATCATCGCTGATGTCAGGTGGATCCTGGCTGAAAGCAGAGAATACCAGAAAGATGTTAACCTGTGTTTTATTGACTATGCAAAGGCATTCGATTGTGTGGAATTATGGATAATATTTTGAAGAATGGGAATTCCAGAACACTTAATTGTGCTCATGAGGAACCTGTATATAGATCAAGAGGCAGTCATTTGAACAGAATAAGGGGATACTGCATGGTTCAAAGTCAGGAAAGGTGTGTATCAGGGTTGTATTCTTTCACTATACCTATTCAATCTGTAAACTGAGCAAATAATCCGAGAAACCGGACTATATGAAGAAGAACGGGGCATCAGGATTGAAGGAAGACTCATTAACAACCTGCATTATACAGATGACACAACGTTACTTGCTGAAAGGGAAGAGGACTTGAAGCACTTATTGATGAAGATCAAAGACTAAAGCCTTCAGTAGGGATTACACCTCAACATAAAGAAAACAAAAATCCTCACAACGGGACCAATAAGCAACAACGTGATAAATGGAGAAAGGATTAAAGTTGTCAAAAACTTCATTTTACTTGGATTCACAATCAACACCCATGGAAGCGGCAGTCAAGAAATCAAAAGATGCATTGCATTAGACAAATCTGCTGCCAAAGACCTCTCTGAAGTGTTGAAAAGCAAAGATGTCACCTTGAAGACTAAGGTGCACCTGACCCAGGCCATGGTGTTTTCAATTGCCTGATATGCATGTGAAAGCTAGACAATGGGTCAGGAAGACTGAAGAAGAATTGACGCCTTTGAATTGTGGTGTTGGTGAAGAATATTGAATATACCGTGGACTGCCAAAGAATGAACAAATGTGTCTTGGAATAAGTACAACCAGAATGCTCTTTAGAAGCAAGGAAGGTGAGACTATTTCTCACATATTTGGACATGTTATCAGGAGGGATCAGTCCCTGGAAAAGGACATCATGCTTGGTAAAGTAGAAGGCCAGCGAAAAAGAGGAAGACTCTCAACGAGATGGATTGACACAGTGGCTGCAACAATGGGCTCAAGCATAGCAGGGGTTGTGAGGATGGCACAGGACCGGGCAGTTTCATTGTATTGTACACAGGGTCGCTGTGAGTCGGAACTGACTTGATGGCACCTAACAACGACATGGTGTTTGGGATGTGGGTTAAGGGGTGCCCGTACACCAACCTTTTCATGGAGATGGTTGCTATGAGTTGGAGTCAACTTAATGGCAACGGGTTAATGACAGGTGACTCAAGGTCCAAACAACTTAGCAGTAGGATTCAATAGATAGACAAACCCCTGTGCAGTTACTACATGTCTCCTTACCAGGGCTTCAGACTGGTTCATTCTGGTTCAAATCCCTCCTGAGAATTTGCATTTCCACCCCAGATATACTGAATCAGAATCTACATTTTAACAAGATCCCTACGTGTTTCTTAACCCCAGCATCATTAGCGTTGCCTAAGAACTTGTTAGAAATGCAAATTCTCAGCAGGGATTCAAACCTGAACAGTCCGGGTTAGAAGGCCTGCCCCTTACTCCCATCCTTTGCCCCTATAGTCTATTCTCAACACAAGAGCCAGAGAGCGCTGACATAGTCAAACCTGTGAGAGCCAGAACTCGAAGGGACTGTCTCGTTTTTCTGGGTCTGGCAAGTTTTTCTGCCTTTGATAGGATGCAGTCTTACCACTTTTCTACTGCTTGTTTTAGTGGAAAATATTTGAGTTTTCCTTCTCTGACAGGTTTTCACATTACATGGGTTCCGACTTTCGCAGGTTTTACTGTATGTTTTAAGTCAGATGACCCTAGGCCTCCAGTGACTTCTCATCTCAGGCAGCATTAAAGCCAAGGTCCCTACAGTGGCCCTCAGAGCTGTCACTCCCCTCAATTTCCTTTCCCGCTGCTGTCCGCCAGCCCCTCTCTAGCTGCACAGGTCTACTTGCTATGCCTTGGAACACACCAGCTGTGGCCCCCTTCAAGGCTTTTGCACTCGTTCTTGCCTAGGTGGTATAAACAGTTAAGCACTCACTGTTATGGTTGGCAGTTTGAACCCACCCAGAATGCCTTGATCTGCTTCTGGAAAGGTTGCAGCCTTGAATCATACTCAACTCCATGACAATTGGTTTGGATTTTTGTTTTATGGTTGCCCTGGCTTAAAATGCTGCTCCCCCAGATATCTGCATGGTGCTGTCCCTCATGGCTCTCCTTCACCTTCTCCAGGCCTTTGCTTATATATCTCTTTACAGAGAGATCATCTCTGACCACCTTAATTAAAACTGCAACCCACCCACCCCAATTCCTGTATCGAGTTTTTCTCTATAGCATTTATCACATTTTGATGTAGACTACATTTTACTCATTGGTTTGTTGTCTGTCTCCCCCCACTAAAATTAATCAACCCAGGGAAGTGATTTTTTTTCAAATCTGTTTTGTTCTCTGTTGTATCCCAGGTTGAGAGTGGGTCCTAGCACAGAGAGGTGCTCAGTAAGTGTTGTCTGAATAAATAAATGTGCTCATGTGATGATGCCCAGCCCCACTGGAGAGGTTCTGAATATAAATGGGGTACAGTTGAGTGAGTGCTCGGTGCCTGTCTTGGATGTCAGGGAAAGCTTCAGGAATGATCTGGCATTTGAAGGAGGCCTTGAAAAATGGGGATGCCTCAGGCCCTTTGAGATGAGATGAAGGGTATACTAGGTGGAGGGAATAGCAAGAGCAAAGGCAGGGAGGCAAGGAAAAAGGAGGCATGAACACCTTTTTTGATTGGTAAGGCCCATGTTAATCTGCCCTTTATTCTGCATTCCCTCTATGTTTGGTATATAATTCTCTCATTGTTTTCTGCATGGATGGGGCAATTAGACACAATCCCTTCAGAAGCTTATTGCGCTTCTTCTGTGTCCCTCACAGATTTCAGAGCTATGCAATGGGCATGATTTACAGTTAATTAATTAATTAATGGATTGATCCACTCAATAAAATATTTCCTGAGCTCTGTGCCAGGCCCTGTGGTAGGTTCTGGGATGCAGAACAAGACAGCTGTCCCTCCCTTCCGGTCTCCATGGATGGGGGGAGGGGCTTAGAGGTCACAGGGGAAGCCAGCTTGAAGAAGAAGTAATTACAAGTGTGAGGAGTATTGTGAAGAGGAAGCAGTGAGTGCTATGGGGACATTTAGCAAGAGGTGCCTGACATCGTAGGGGTCAGGGATGGCCTCTTCGAGAATGGGTATTTCTTTGAGACCTCATGGTGTGCTCTGATCCAGGCTACAGTTAGCTTAAGGAGGGCCAGTCTATTGGGGGACAGAGAAACATCCCTGGGAAAGCTGCAAATGTAGTCCCAGGGTGTAGATCATGCCTAACTCCTCGCTTACTGACGGTTTCAGTTGGTCTTCTGTCTTCTAAGAAGACAGCAATTCATGAGCAGAAATAAACACTGCTTGCTGCTCTTTCCACTGCTGTGTACATGTTGAACCAGTATCTACAGCATATTGGTTTGAAGAACACCAAATTATCAGCTTACTATGGACTCTGTTTGGCCTTGCTCTGGCCCTGGTGGAGAGGGAAGAAGATCTTCCTGTCCATCTGCTCAGGGCCAAACTTTAGGATTGTGTCCAAGAGAGCCTACCTCTTTCTGGATAGGATAGCCTCCATTTTTTCTAACTACCCAGCATTCTCTTATTTTGACAAACATGTCTGAAAAGGAAAGAAGTGTGGCTGGGACACCCAAAGAGTCTGGACTGGACAATAACCCCTTCCCTTTGTGTCTGCAAAGGGAGAAGAGAAAAAAGGGCTCCATTAGGAGAGTCCCAACTCTGTCTCCAAAAGGACAGGAGGAGAATAAAAGCCACAAAATGAGCAAACCACCTAAGGAGCCCCTTAGCATCCTGTCCTTGGGCTCTTCCATCTGAAGAAGACAGAGATGCCAGCTCCTTGAAATCTAAGGGGAATGTAAAAAGTATCTTAATTAGATATTAACGACAAAGCTTCTTTGTCTTTGGATGCAGGGATACAAAATGCCTGCAGATTTCACTTGGCTGGGCTCTGGCCTGAAACACTCAAGTGTTCCGTATAGCGTGGGAGGTGTGTCTGAGGCCTGAACTTTTTTTATCTAGAAATTCCACACAGTTTAACAAACAGATTAGGTGGATATCCAGTTGTTTCTCATTACCAGGGTCAACTTTACACAGCAAACTTTGATTCTACTAAGAAACTTCGAGCAAATTTTGATTTTATGACAAAAGCATTTGTTGGACAAGACTCAGCAGTTATTAATCTAATTCAGTAAGCTGGTCCCTGGGTGATGTAAACAGGTGGTACTCGACTACTAACCTAGATTGGCTAGTCCAGACTCACCTGGCAGTGGCCTGGTGCTCTGCTTCTGTAAAGATTATAGTCAAGAAGACCCTCTGGAGAAGTTCTCCTCTGTAACACATGGGGTTGTCATGAGTCAGAATGAACTCGACAGCAACAGTTTGGTGTTTTTGGTTTACTGTGTATAAAGGAGTCCCTGGGTGGTACAGGTGATTAAAGTGCTTGGCTGTTAAGCAAAAGGCTGGAGGTTTGAGTTCACCCAGAGGCACCTCAGAAGAAAGGCCTGGTGATCTACTTCCAAAACATGAGCCATTGAAAACCCTATGGAGCACAGTTTTACTCTGACACACATGGGGTCACCATGAGTTGAAGCTGACTCAACAGCAACTGCTTACTGCTTTATACGTGTAACATATTAAGTCAGGCTCCTGGGGAAACACCCAGATAAAAGGAACAACAGAGTCTCTGTTGTTGGGAGTTTAAGGTCTTCTGGCATCCTCCTTCAGATGCCAATGCTAGTCCATTTCTGCAAGGCAATTACCTTATCGACAATTAGAGTAGAAGTTTTAATTCTGCGGAATACATGAGTTCCAATAGCCACACTGAGGGCCCGGTAGACACCTTCCACAGCATCCGGGTGACAAGCAAAATAAAGCAGCATCTGTGTGTAGTCAAGCTGGGGTGGATCCTTTTCATAGTCAGCAAACAGCCTGAAGAAAAACTGTCAAAGGAAAAGGATTCAATCAAAGACAAAATCTGTACACTCTGGTAGCCAGTTGATGGACACAGCAAGGAAGAAGTCCTCCAAGAATTTACCTTCTGAGAATTAATAAGAATTCTGAGAATTCAATTAGTAACACTAACATATAATGGATGGTATTAACTGAAGGGTGTCTCTGGGTAGTGCATACAGTTAGTGCGCTCGACTGCTAACTGACAGGGTTTGAGCAGAGCTGGCATGAGCTGACTAGCAATGTTTCCCGCTTATCATGAGGCTGTTGCAGTATCCACGTGAAATGACTGTGGTTGCTCAGGTGGCAGCAATGGGACTGGTAAGAAGTGGTCTGGTCCTTGGTATATTTTGAAGGTAGAACTACCAAGAGTTCCTGAGGGATTGGATGTGGGGTTTGAGAAGAAGAGAAAAATTGAGAATGACTCCTAAGGTTTTGGTCTCAGCAACTGGAAGTTGTTGAGTTTCCATTGATTTAGATGGAAGAGGTTTTGGGTGAAGATGGAAGTGATGGGTGGCAGGGAGGGGAGATCAGGCGTCCAGTTTTGGACATGGTTGGCTTTGGTGTCTACTAATATTTCAAGTGGAGAAGTCAAATAGGCAGTGGCATCTAGGAGTCTAGAGTTTGGAAGAGCAGTCTGGGGTGGAGATGGACATTTGGGATTCATCAGCAAATCAATAGCATTTAAAAGCATAAGACTGGCTTTAAAAACTATTAACCAGTCAGACGGAATGGAAAGATGCTGTATGCTTTCACATGGACAGAAACTGTGGAAAAGAGATTAGGACAATACTTGTGAATTTTAATATGGCAAAACTCAAACCCCTTTTCTCAGGAAAAACCTCTCCAGGTGTTTAAACAGTGGGGACATTGTTGTTGGTGCTGAGTGTGTGGAAAGCTGAGCAACCAGGACACATGACCCGCTGGGCCTCAGCAGTCACAAAGAAGTGCGTTGTCACTATCAGGGACGGTGACGTGATTGCAACAGAGAGCTGTCTCATGGTTCCTTTTTTGGGTTCAGCTGGACCTTTCATCCAGTGCCTGGGTCTCTGAGGTCATCCAGGCACAAGGACAGTGGCTTTGGCCAGTCCCCAGGAGCCCCCAAAAGGTGTGACTCAGAGGCACTACTCAGATCACAGACAGAGCCAATGACAAAGCATGGGAGCTGGCTGAACCCTATGTTGCAGCCCAAGCTCTCACTTTAAGAGAAGACAGAGGCCTTGGGAGATGAAGGACCTGCCTAACGAACCATGGTGAGTTGTGGCAGAACTGGGAGCAGAACCCAGGACTCCCAACTCCCAGGATTCTCGATTCATGGGGGGGCATTTCTTTTTCCTGATTTAGTCTTTCCTGGTCTAATTATAGCAAAAGTACTTTTGTTGTTGTTTTATATTTTCTCTTTGAACGCCTTTCTTCAGCATGTTAGCCATTAACCACTCTATCCACATTTAGCGAACATGCTTAACTTCTGCTTAGCTAACATCTATACTGGCCTTACAATGTGCCAATCACTGCTCAAAGAATAACGCGTGTGTGAACTCACTCAGCACCACAAGCCTACCAGAAAGGGGTTATCGTCATCCTTACCATGCCGATGAAGAAACAAGGTACAGAGAGGTTAGGTACTCCGTTAAAACCTCACAGCTTGTAAGGAGTAGAACCAGGAGGCAGAGTGTGCACTTTTAATCCTAGGGTAAGGGCACTGTGATTTATATAAGGCTAAGTCTCCAATCCCCAGGGCAGCGAGACAATGGAAAACATCGCTCCTTTTCTATCCTCTGGACATCACCACCACCACCACCATCACACACACACACAGACACAAACACACATATCTGTCAGTCATCCTTTGCCCATAAAGGCACTTCTTTCTCAGACCCTATAGTCCCTGCTGGCACGGTGGTTAAGCCCTTGGGTGCTAACTGAAAGGTCAGCGGTTTGAACCCACTAGCTGCTCTGTGGAAGAAAGATGTGGCAGTCTGCTTCTGTAAAGATTACAGCCTTGGAAACCCGATGGGACAGTTTTACTCTGTCCTACAGGGTCATTCTGAGTCGGAATCGACTTGATGGCAAAGGGTTTTAATGGGATGGTCCTGTCACTGCCCCCAACTGTTCCTTTCTTTCCTTATCATTTTCCAGCAGTTTGGACAGCAGCAGGTGGGAGTCACACCCTTCCTTGGTAACTACCATAATGCCACCTCCATGTTTCACTGCCACACGGTGTCAGGGCTGACTCGCAGTCAGCCTTCTGGCTTTCGTGTCCAGGTGAGCAGCTAAAAGGCTCCATCTTCAATCGACATTGCTAAAACTTCTGGCTAATAAAGGAGATGCTTTTCACTTGGCATCATATTCAAACTGCCTGATGATGTTGTTGGCAGATTCGTTGACAAAATCATCTTCCAAAAGACAGGAGAATTGATCTCAGTCCTCCAGTTTCACATAAAACAAATAAACAGACAAAAAACTGTCCCTCCAACTGCCAACCTCATATCTTGGACAATTTTTTTTTTTTTTTTTTGTAACTCCCTGCCCCCTTTCTTCTACTCCCATCTCCTGCTATCATCTAGCAGAGATGCTCAAAAAATACATGTCCACTTGAAGGGAATTGCTCACTTTAAGGTTATAACCGGAGTCATATTCAATTTTGGACTGCAATTTTGAACTAACGGCTGGCTGGAAATTGAACAATTGATATGATATTATACATAGTTGGCCGCAATGTCTAAATCTACCATTCAACTTTCCCATATCTTATTGAATTTGGCTGTGTTAGGTATATTTCTATATTTTAAACATTTACACTGAAGTCAGAGCGGCTTTCAGATTTTAAGGTTCATTGTGGCTTCTGTGATACGGGCTAATAATGATGTTATTGATAATATTAATATTGAGAGCAGCAAGCTCTAACAGGCTATGGGCAATTCTGTATGCAAATCCACGTTGCACAGGTTAGTCAAAGTCAAAGAGAAATGGACGAAAATAGAAACCGGTAAAATGGCAGAATCTCATCCTAAGCTTTTAGAATTGGAAGAACCCTTGGAGATATATGTTTTGAGTAACATATTATGAGAAAAAACCCAGAGAGGTTATGGAAATTGTCCAAGATCACACAGAAACTTGATAGTAGGACTCTGAAAGATATTAGCTCCCACTTCTTCCGGAGCTCTCCCACCCCGCCTCCTTTGTGAGTACTAAGTCTGTATTTGGGGGATATGGCAAAGGAGTGGAGAGGAGGGAGTCCAGAACAAACTACACAAGTGGGAGGAAAGACACAGAAGGTGATCAGCAACATTATACTCCTACATTTTTTTAAAGGTCTCAGCAATTACCTCTATAAGGTACTCCCGCCTATTAAATGGCAGAGGTTCAAGAGGATTTTCTGGAATTTTTATCTCTTCATCTCCTGTAAACCACAGACCAGCCTACACAGAACATAAAAATGAAAACCATTAGAATATTAAGCTGAAACGTCATGATCCCTCTAAAAGTGGAAGAAGTGGAGCCATTTGTTCTTCAATTCTCTAAGGCAGTCGTCTCCAAAGTGGGGCACATCAACCACAGCGTGCAGGAGAGAATATTAGAACTGCCGTTTACGCTGATTTTTATCTCCTTTTATATTTTTTTAAATTTCAGATATTTTAGAATGTATATAATCTACTAGTACAATAGTTGTGGTTGTTATTAGTTGCCATCAGTTCTGACTCATGGCGATCTCATGTGTGCAGAGTAGAACTGCTTCATAGGGTTTTCAAGGCTGTGACCTTTCCCAGGCAGATGGCCAGGCCTGTGTTAGGTATATTTCTGCCATCGAAGGCAACACTGGGTGGGTTCAAACCACCAACCTTTTGGCTAGTAGTTGAGCACTTAACTGTTTGTGCCATCCAGCCTGCCTGGTATAGTAGTACACGTATGTAATTTACAAATGAAAATCCACATATTGGGGGTGCTAGCTATATTTTAACTGTTGGGTCATGGGATAAGCTTGGCAATCACAAGTCTAGACTATGCCCTCACATCTATATTTTGGAGGAGTCTGTGCTCCTATGGAGCTCTGGTGGCACAGTGGTTAAGCATTCAGCTGCTAACCAAAAGGTTGGCAGTTCAAATCCACCAGCTGCTCCTTGGAAAGCAGTTCTATGGGGCAGTTCTACTCTGTCCTCCATGAGTCAGAATTGGCTCAAGGGCCACAGGCTTGGTTTGGTTTTTGGTGCTCCCATAACAATAGCTAACATTCCACACATGCTGTTCCATTACTCTCTGTTCTCAGAGCCCAGAATGGTACTGGTGCATGTTGTTGGTGTTAGAAAATCTTTGTTGAATGACTGACTGGCTCAAGAGCTCAGGCCCATTTCTCATGACATCCTTCTCTCTCAGCCCATATTTGACACCAACGGTCAAACCTCTCAATCCTATTTGGCAATGTCTCTCCCATCTCTCCTTACCTTTCATTCCCACTGCTACTACCCTGATGTAGAGCCTCATTACCTCCATCATGGCCACTCCAGTGACCACAGAGTTGTTTTTGCTTCCAGTTTTGCTCTTATTTGTTTCATCTGTGCCACACAACCATATCAATCTTCTCAAAATTTAGTGTTGTCATAGCATCTCCTACTATTGTTCTTTTGCTCATATCATCCCTCCTATTTGAGGTGACCGCCAGCCACCTTTTCACCTAGCTAAGGCTACATATCCTTCCAGGCCAACTCAGGTCACAGTGAGGCCCTCTGTGATCTCTCCTCTGAATTCCAAATTTACTTGTTATTTGTACCGCATGTTTGGCTTTTAGTCCACTCCTTTGGGTATTGTCATTCATCTCTGCTGTTACACATCAGGTGTATAAAATCCTCAGGTTCAAAGAATGTATCTTGGCAAGCGTAATTTTTATACATTGTAAAAACTTCATATACAAAAGCTTTTTGTTCCTGGGTAATGCTCCCTTACTGCCTTCCAGAATGATGACCTACCGCTAGCACTGCCAACTGCCAAGAGCCATTGGCTTGCTCAGCCTGACTCTGCCCTATGCTCTATGCCTTCCTTCCTTAAGGATCACCTGTGCTTTCAGAGAAGGCTGGAAAGGCTCTGGGTAGAAGGTAAGGGGATACAGCCCCCAAAGGTGAGTGCTAGGATGGGAGATGCTGCCTAGGTGGAAGCCTACAAAGGGGAAGACCCAGAGGAGCTAATGGTCCAGCAGGGGCTCAGACTTAGAATATACGTGGCTTTTCCATTGACTACTAGGAGATGCTCTCCAATGGCTAGTCTGTCGGGGATAGGGTCCTGATGATACACTGTATACAGAGTAGAGAGATGAGGAACAGAGGTAAAGATTTCTGCTTCTGACCATGATTAACAATGTTCAGATTTATTCTCCTGCCTTAATAACTAGAAAAATGGACAAAGCATATGAAACAACGATTTTTTTTTTTTTTCAGACACTAGAAACAGACAATGCGGGACAGTGATTTCTGAAAGGAGGAAAGCAAATGAGTGGCCCTGGGATTGTTCCAGCCTAGAGAGTCTCCAGGCTGCAGGGACAGGAGAATCCAAGCAGAGACTGGAGGTCCTGCTGAGTTAGGAGATAGGTTTTGGAGTTGAGAGAAGCCAAGATGGTTAGAATTTATAGGGTAGAATGCTATAGAGGAGGTAGCTACACAGAGAGTGAAAGCTCTGGGGACCTGCAGAGGGGCTTCCTCAAGTCTTGACTGAGAGATGATCTGTGGATGTGTGTATGTATGAAAAATACTAGAGGCTGCAGAAAGAACATCTGAAAGCAGTAGGCTGAGAAATTCCTGAGACTCACACAGGACTGGGAATGGTTTGTGTTACACCAGTCAGAGTAGAAGGACCTCCTAATACACAAGGCATTGGATAGAGCCCTCAGAAGGATATTGCCTTAATACCCAAACCAAACCAAACCAAACCAAACTCACTGTTGCCGAGTCAGTTCCGACTCATAGAGACCCTACAGGACAGAGTAGAACTGCCCCATAGAGTTTCCGAGGCTGTAAATCTTTACAGAAGCAGACCACCACATCTTTCTCCCGTGGAGTGGCTGGTGGGTTTGAACTACCAACCTTTTGGTTAGCAGCAGAGCTTTTTAACCACTGTGCCACCAGGAAAGGTTGCCTGTGGCTACCTTTATAACCATAATGTAAGTCTTAAAAGGATAAAACTGATTCCAAGTAATGTCACTGCATGCCTGACAATATTTACAGGTATACAACAAAATCCAACCCTTAACGAGATAAAATTCAGAATGTTTGGTATCCAATATAAAATTACTAGGCATATATGCAGAAAAAGCCAGAAAATATGACCTAAAACTTGGAGAAACATCAATCAATAGAAACAAAGAAATGACACAGACGATAGAATTAACATTAAGGCACCTATTCTAAATATATTGTATCTGTTCAAGGAGGCAGAGAAAAACATAAAAACATAAAGTGGAAAGAAATGAAAGATATAAAAAAGGACTCAAATTGAGCTTCTAGAGATGAAAAATGTACTCATATGAAAGGAAAAGTACACTGGATGGTGTTAATAGTAGATTAGATTCTGCAGAGGAAAAGATCAGTGAACTTAAGACATAGCAATAGAAAATGAAGAACACAATGATGAACAGAGAGAAAAAAGACTGGAAAAAATGGACCAAGCATCAGTGACCTGTGGAACAATATCAAGAGGCCTAATGTACGAGTGATTGGATTCTAAGAAGAGGAGGTACCAAAAAAAATTTGAAAAAAAATCCTGAAAATTTTCCAACTTTAATGAAAACTACAAACCCAAAGATCCAAGAAACTCAGCAAATCCCAGACAGAGGAAACACGAAGGGACACAATAATTAAATTGCTGAAAACCAGTGATAACGAGGAAATATGCAAAGAAGCCAAAAGGAAGGCAAGGGGTAGGGGGGAGACAGAGATAAGATTCCTGCTCCTCCTCCCATTTCTCAATGAACTATCAATTCCATTTCCAATTGTTTCAATGCACAGGAATTTTCCTTGATTCTTAAAACCCAGGATTAATATATATTTGTTTTCTAAAATGATATTCATATATAATATTAATGTTTAATGGTATTTTCTAAACATATATTTAATAAATTAGAAAACCATTTCCAAGTGTTCCATAAACAAGGCTACTTTAGAAAGAACAAAACAAATAAGCAAACAAACAAAAACAATGTAACAGGAAAACAACTTATATTTTAAAAAAATCATCATGAAAATTTTATCAGCGTGAGTGTTAAATACAACATCCTGCTTCACAGAATTGTTAAACGATGTCTCTTTAAAATATGGAAATGCCTTTTGTATTCTCTTGCTAAAACATGGCCAAAGAATCTTGGGGATTTTACTTATTTTTAGAGAACTAGTACTGTGCAATTTGGATCCTAGAACATCTGACTCATTACGCCAGTAATAATGTGTTCTCACAGATGAAAGATGAGTCGATAGTTCATCATCAAAGGATTCTACCCAGTGTGGCTAAACCATCCGCATGCCCTAGAAGGAAGCATGTAAGAGGGGCAGCAAGGCTGACAGCAAAGTACACAGGCTTTCCTTGTCTCTCAAGGCCCAACCGATTTCACAAACGCAGTATCTTATTCCATTTTAGAATTTGGGGAAATCAGTCACAATCTTAAGTGGCTGCTGTGATGAACTTGCAATTAGTCAAAGGAAAAAAAAAAGAGAGAGAAAGAGAGACAAGATCAAAAAGCATAGTAGAGAGCCTTTTTCTCACAGAGAACTTCCCATCAGCAACACAGTTATTTTACTGTTCCACTGTGGCATTTTCAACAAATTTTATAAACCTTTCCCTTAAAAGCTGTTTTGACTTATCCCATGAAATGACATTGTAGAAGGGGAGCTGGCAAGTATTGGGGATCCATAAAAGAGTATATGGGATTTTTGGGGGGCCTGGGACTACCAAGGAGTGCGAAGTAGGTAGGCAAAGGAGAGGGCAGAGCTCAGAAGTCAACTATCCCCAAACAGGAACTGCTGGGGTGAGTATTTCTGAGTTTCTATTAAATGCACTATCCCACTTTTTCTAAGAAATTCACACCTTTGGTAAGGGAGCTTTCTGGTTTTGGCTCCACACTTTGTTCTTCTCATGTTTGTGTAAAAGGATGTTCAAATTGATATCCTGTGTTAATTGCCACATACTCTAAACAGTGAAAGGTGGTAATTTCACAAATGCCAACTTTTTAAAACCTGAAGCCATCTGTAGAAATGGATTAAGTTTTGCTGTCCTGTTTATTGTTTTTGCTGTTAAAATCATCTCAACAACGCCAGGACAGTGATAGCTTTCATAAATTGCTCTACTTGGGAAAATAAATACATCAGAGCCCAACCAGCCAAGAACCTGTCTTGATTAGCCCTGAAAGAACCTTCCCAGTATTCAAGTGGTGTTTCTTCTGGCTCAAATGTATGATGAGGGTGGAAACTTTAGGAAAGTCTAAAACCACTTCATCAATTAACTGAAGTAAAGAGAAGTAGGAAGGGATAGTCATCTTTCCATGGCGAAATTCGTAAGAGATAGCGGCACCTATAGAGTATCACTCTTTTTCAAAATTAGTACCTTGTAAAAGTTCCTCTTTCGTGTCTATTCACAAGGTGAAATGGTGAGCAATGGGATATATTCAATCGTTGTTGTTGTTTGGTGCAGGATGAAACTGATTCCAAGTAATGTCCCTGGATGCCTGACAATGTTTAAAGGTATATGACAAAATCCAACCCCTACCAAGATAAGTCATTCAGGCCCCTCAGGGAATTTCATTCTCACTCCTTCCTTACTGAAATGTCTCAAAGATGAGTTGATATTTCTTTTATCTTCACTTCCTAACGACCTTATGTATTTCTTCAACCCTCTGCAATCTGGCTTCTGACCCCTTATTCCACCGAAACCGCTCTGGCAAAGGCCACTAGTTGCATCTAATCTGCCAACTTCAATGGCCAGCTCTTATGTTACTGGATTATCCACCACTTTACACACATTTCTTGGGTGATTTCATCCATTCTTAAACTCAACTACCGCCTACTGGGTAGTGACTTGCCATCTGCCATTTCAGATTGGATGTTTCTGTCTGAATTTCCACGGACATTTCAAATTCGTCTTGTCAAAAAGTCTCATCATTCATCACCCCCTCACCCAAAGGAACAAAACCTGCTCTTTCCCTGTGTTCTCTATTACTGTTGTTGCTTCTTTCAGAGATTCTAATTTAATTTATCTGGGGTGAGACCTAAGCATTGGAGTTTTTTAAAGCTCTTCAGGTGATTCTAACGCATAGCTAAAGTTAAGAACGATTGGTTAGGAGCTTAGGAGACAGACAATAAAATTAATATGACTCCTTCAGAACCCTTAGTTCTTCCAGAACCCAGAGATGAACAGTTCTGACTTTTTCAGACTCTTTCCCTGGGTGTGGAAGGCAGGCTTTGGCCTGGGACAGAAGGTGACGCTGCCTGTTCTGCCTTTGGAGTCCTTGGGAAGCACAAATAGTTAACACACTTGGCTGCTAACTGAAAGGTTCACAGTTTAAGTTCACCCAGAGGCTCCTTGGAGGAAAGGCCTGGTGATCTACTTCTGAAAAATTAGCCATTGAATACCCTATGGAACACAGTTCTATTATGCACATATGGGGTTGCCATGAGTTGGAATTGACTTGATGGCAAATGGTTTGGCTTTTTGTGTGTGTGTGTGTGGCCTCTGGGTGCCTAGACGTGGGCAGCCTAGGAACAGAACACTGACTGGAGACATGGTGATGCAACATCAGTGAGTAACACACTTCTTAGATCAAGAGCACTCTGGTTCTAGTGCCACCAGGTATTCATAGCAACCTGCAGATACTGCTCGAGAGTGACCATGCCCAGCTGCTCCTCATCCACAGTCTTGAACCTCTGCAGGGTCTCAAGGAGCTCCTCTTCCAGGGGGATGGGCCATGGCAGCGAGGTTAATAACAGGAATTTCCGCCAGTCCACAAACTCGGAGTTCACTATTAATAAAGACGTTAACTCCTGTAACTAGAAGAAAACAGGAAATGGCATTGGTATATATGTATGACTTTGTCTTGAAGCTGCCCTTGCTCAGGCTTTCATAGTAAGAAATTCAGAAGAAGGAAGTAGGCTTTTATATTGGCAAGTAGAGCTAGTCCTGACTTTTGTTACCCGAGGTTCAACCAACCAATCCATACACTAGATGATAGGTACCTAGAAAGGGTTTCAGTTTTGCTTCCTTGACATTTGTGTTTTTTGCTTACTGTTACACAACCAACACAACTAACTGTTATATAACTAACAACAACACACAACCAATCTACATACAGTATAGGTCAAAACAGCATATATAGGGTTCGGTACTATCTGCGGTTTCAGGCATCCATGGAGGGGTTTGGAATGTATCCCCCGCGGATAAAGGGGGACTACCATATATAGTGGAGCCCTGGTGGTGTAGTGGTTAAGAGTTCGGCTGGTAACCAAAAGGTCAGCAGTTTAAATCCACCAGCTGCTTCTTGGAAAACCCATGGGGCAATTCTACTCTGCCCTACAGGGTCGCTATGAGTTGGAACCAACTTGATGGCACCTAACAACAACAACAACTGTGTGTGAATTCTGTTCACTTCATACCTTTTTATATAGAGGAGAGACAGCTATGACAGCTGCAGGATGTGCAAACTCTTGCCAGCACATAGGGAAATAATCTTTCACATTTTGTTTCTGGTACGTTTTTAAAGCACAAAAAACAAAGACTGCCAGTTGATTTATTATTACTAGTTAGGATCATTCCATCTGGCAGTAATAGATACAAACTCACTCGTTGAGCCTAGTGGCCTCTGTAATGTCTCATTGACTATTGGTGCCATCATTCATTCTTCAGATAGTGAGCATGTCTGTACTACGTGTCTCAGTTTGAAATTCATTCATCCCCTCATTTTTATTGCCTATCTACCAAATGTCAAACACTGTGCAGGTACTACTTATTTTACGGCTATTGACTCTTTGATCAAATAAGAAGAATGCTCAAAGCTTTGAAACCCAAACAATTAGAAGACTTAAAACACAACTGAAGCTTACTTCAGGTTGGGTGAGGTGCATCCAACTACTAGGAAAGCTATTCGTTCCAAGGTTCAGGGTGACCAAGTCAAGCAGAATGTCAGTAAATGTTTTATTTCCTATGATGCCTAGAAATACAAGGAAAAAATATGTTGTTATTTATATTATGTGATAGGGTTTTTTTTTTCCTCTGTAAAACAATTTTCTTCATATATTTAAAAATGTAACCTTTAGAGAAACAGAACACATTTCAAAAACCAGAAACTAATAATCGATTTCCTGATGCTCTCGCATTATTATTTCTCAGCTAAGTCAAAACATTCTTTTTACCGTAGTAATAATGCACTCCAGATTGGGCAAAATACTGAGACTATATTCTTTAGTTTGGAGTCTTCTTTGACCTTTTAGTCAGGATAGGTTGACTACTTTTTTTTTAATTCTCTGAGATTTCTTATATGCAATAGGGCATAAGAGTAAACATTTCTGGTAAATACGGGATGAATGTGTTTCAAATGCATGCAAACCATTACTGTGTTCAAGGTAACGCATTTATCCTCATGTTGCCCTTTAGATCATAATATATTTGCTTCTGTAAATGTAGGGCAATCTGAATTGTTAAATTATGGGATTGAAAGTGCTCATTTAATCATTTAATTAGCTCAGTATTTCCACGTGATGAAAGATGGCTAACGTTTTAGATGCTTTGCTGTTATATAACTTACTTCACTGTGCCCAAAACAAAATGTTTATTTTGCCTGTTTCTCAATTCAGATTGCATGCATATGCATTACCAAAGAAGAAAACAAAGGAAATGAATCTGCTTTAAAAAAAAAAAAAAAAATCTTGACTACTACTACACAGCAGAGATACCTTTTAGGGCCAGGAGAGACTCCTATGTGTATTCCGGTATCTTTCAGGTCCAGAGTACATAGCTATTCCCGTTTGTTTAGGAATCAAAAGAGTGAAACAAAGATGTAGTATCTCAATTTGTTCCTTTTAAATCTAAGTTTTTAGCATTTCTGAAAGTCCTACATGAACTTTATCATTGCCTATAACCTTTAGGAAAATGCAGCAATCCTTTAAAAATTGCAGTGGTTCAAACAACATGACCAAGTTTGAGATTGGGAAGGTAATTTTCTGAGTAGCAAGAGCAGAACCTTTCTTTCTTTGATCTCAGTGGCCATCCAGCAGGTTGTTCAGAAACAAATTCTTTATCTTTTTTGATTAAACCTGAGTATCCAATTTTACAGAGGTGACAATATTTTCCCACGTAGTAAAATTTTCAGTAAAATGAGCTTTATATGATACATTGGTTTTCAGATAAATTAGAAATAATCATTAATGTTCCTCGAGATGAAACCATAAATAAAAGCTGTTGGAATCATGAAGGGGCTCAAAGTATTTAAAAATTCTGGTGCGTGAACAATGTATTTCCACTGTCTCTAATGGCGGTGGTGGAAAACAGTGTTGTAAAACGGTACTTTCGGTTTGCAAATAAATTGTTAATCTGAGGCTCTTGGTGTGAAACGTGAAGGCAATTTTAATGGTTGACCGTGTTACTTAAATGGCCAAGACATTCAGTGACATGATTTCCATATATAATGAAGTAACAGGTGCACTTAAAAATTTTGTTCATGGACACAAAAGAAACTGTCTTTCAATTTGGCCATACATTAGCTATCTAATGCAAAGTCATTTATAATTATCCAGGATAAAAATCTAGTATGCTAGGTTTAAGAGAACTCAGACCATAATCATGGTCTAAGTTATGTAGCCATTGTTAATAGTAACTCTCAGAAAGTTAACAGCAAAATAATACCACTGCTCAAGAGCACACCCCTCCACCCAAAGAATGAGAAAGAATGGATACAGAAGTACTAGTTAGAAGTTGCAGGAAACCACTTTGAATTTGTGCTTTGTGCTTGGAAGATGCCAAATGTCTTTTCTGTTTGATGAAGACTAGTTACTATTTTCCTTTTTTAAATTTCAGTTTTTTGGAAATCTTTTTTTTTGTTTCCCCTTGGCTGTGCTCAGTGACGAAGTCAACATTTTTCAAATTACTAATCACTTTCATAATGGGTTTCTGAGTCTGATGAACAATCAGAGCTAGATCTTGTATCACCTGTTGAAGATGGTGTTCTTGTATTCCATAAATGGATAGCTTTCCTAGGGTCAAAGTTATTACTGTCTGGAGAATTCAACTGAATTATCAGGAAATCAGTCATACTCTCAGCCTTGATTTTCACATGCATTGTGAGTTGGTATTCTTCATCTGACTAAACCCATGTTCTGCTTCAGCTGAACTTCCAGGAAGGCTCAATACTAGGTCTACCAGTGTCAGGATATTTGGATACTTGTGTAGGTAAACCGAATTCACAAAATCCCAGGTCAACTTGCGAACGTTCTTAAATCTAGAAGCGAGAATGAAAAACGTGAATGATTTAGAGCACCCAAGTTTTACCCAAATATTTACAAGTATCCACTAGTTTACTCAGCATGCTTGCTTCCTTACCTGGCATAAACCTCTAATTTCAACATGCTCCATTCAGTGTCCACTTCATCGATTTTCACATTGGCAGCTTCCAACACTGGCTCATAATGTGCAATCAGGATGGATATTTCTTTTTCTCCAAATTCTGCATTTGAGATGTCAAAGTAAAAGATGTATGAAAGAAGCCCATACGAGTAATCAAAGAAGAGTGGGTTCAGGCTCAGTGCAAATCGGTTACCTTGACTGATCTTTCTGGGCCACAGTTTGAAGCTTCCAGTCATGGATGCTCTCACCACATCTTGGCTAGCATCTTGGAAACAGCCTAGCAGCCTCTTGATGAGATGTGTTAACACCATGTTTCTCACGGCAGAAATGTTTCCCTTTCCTCTGAGGTTATTACCATGAAATTGTGTGGCTGAATCCACCCTGCATTCTTTTGGCCCTGGTCTAGGAAAAAAATGCCCCCCAATAAAAATTTACTTGAAGAAGCACCTGGCAAATAATTTTCCAAATCAAATTGTCTGGTTTGACAGAGCCTTAGATTGTTGCCAACCCCTCACCTTGACTGGTACATTCTGAGCATTTCCAGCGTTGACTCTAAAGTGGCAAATATGTCAGCAATTGAGGAATTTCTGTTCTGATTGACATGGGACAGAATGCTGAGGACATTAATGATGTCCACCAAGAAATGGGCAAACTTAATGATGTCGGCTTGGAGAAGGACCGCTAGAAGTTCTTTGGCTTTCTGTTGACTGGCTTTACTTCTGTCTTCACCTGCCTGTAACACAGTTGGGAACAACATAGTGGTTTACCTTTCTCACAATTATTGTCTCAAAGAGCTTAGCAAAAGTATTTTCTGTTATTCTGAAAAAGTAAAATAATATGGTATTTCAAAATTACTTACTGAATGCAGTTGCTGGACAATTGCAGGATATCCCTTAAGAAAGTTCTGGAGGGCTGCCTGTAATCCGTGAAGCCACCTCCTGCCTCCAATTTGAGAAGGCATTACATCGGTTACCTTGACTGATCTTTCCGGGCCACAGTTTGAAGCTTCCAGTCATGGATGCTCTCACCACATCTTGGCTAGCATCTTGGAAACAGCCTAGCAGCGAAGGCCTTGGAACGCGGTTTTCAGGGAACTCTCGTGGAGAGGAGCGTGGTGATAGAAGTGATAAATGCTGTGGAGGAGGTCTCTGACATCGTTGTACAGGGGAATGCTCTGGAACACCGCCTTGTAAGATAGTTCAAGATGATGTGCAAAGTAATGCACAGTCTGCACACACGCCTGGATTTGTCTTAAAAGCAGGGCCACTCCATTGTTCTCTCCCTCCATGGCAGGAGCACCACCACTTCCTAAGCCAACCAGCTTCTTGGCCCAGTCTTGGCTCGACAGCCTGAGTTGAAGATTTACCTCCAGAGTTTTCTCAGTAGCATTTTTTTATTGACGGAGGATACTGCTTTTCTACTGTCTGTACTCCAACAATTTGACAGTGCACTTCTCCTGCATGTGCAAACTGCACGTAGACAAGTTCGGCTTCCTTGATGGAACGGTCTCTGACTCCATCGCTGATGACAGAGAAAAATTTGCATTTTTCTAGATTCTCTCTTAGATTTCTCCGTTCCACTTCAGCAATAAAATAAGCAAACATGCTTGCTGACTTGTTAGTTCTGAATACTGGGCCAATGTCAACTCCCTTCATATCATCCAACTTGCACATCCAAATAAAATCTTTGAGGGGGTGGCCCGTTTTGGCAATAGCATGGCATGATCTGAATAAGTTCTCCACTCGGCCGAGGGTGACTTTGCTCATAGTCCTCACCATTAACTCGGTGGTGGCTCTGTTCACTGGAGAGCCGCTTGTTGCTTCCATTAATGAAGCCTTGGCGTGAGCCTCGCTGAGGTGATGTGCGTTGAGGAACTCAGCCCTGAAGTTGTCAGTGCCATAAGAAAAACTCACTTGACTTCCCCGTGACTTCACCCCATGCTTATGACACAGGCCACAGAACATAAGATTTAATATCTCATCATATACAAGCCAAGGGTATTTTTTTAGCCAGATTTTCAAAAACTGATTATTTCTCTTGGGAAAGTAATAGTCAAGTGTCCGCAGCTTTTTCAGATCCTTGGTGACTTGACCCACGTCATCCGGAGGATTTCTGCCTTTAAAATAACTCCATGTTGTTATTTTAAGTAATCACCAATGTCTAGCCTCAGCCTTGCTTAACCCTTGCTCCCGCATTTGCTCATTATTTCCGAGAAACTTACAGTGTTTATTATGTAGCAGATATTCTGATAAGTGGTTTATTCTATTTAAGTGTTTTAAGTGGTTTATTTCATTTCATCCTCACAATCTAGTATCCCCATTTTATGGTTAAGAAGTTGGACTAATTACTAATGTCACCAGAGTCCCTGGGTGGTGCAAATGGTTAACGTGTTTGGCTGCCAGGTTGGTGGTTTGAGTCCACTGAGAGGCACCTCGGAGGAAAGGTGATCTATTTCTGAAAGGTCACAGCTATGAAAACCCTATGGACACAGTTCTACTCTGAGACACATGGGGTTGCCATGAGTTGGAATTGACTCAATGGCAACTTTTTTTTTTTTTTTTTTTAAGGCTTCTAGATTTATTACTGCATTTCTGTGATCTGAGTCTGATTTAGTGGAAGGAGTTCACCCACTGAGAGAACGATACAGCGTACGGGGGCCAAACTTCTCTTCATGGTAATCCCTAGATTAATACTAGCAAGATACTCTTGTTAATAACGTCAGTCTTTTTACATCATCTCTTTTCTAAGAAATCTTTTGGTATTTCTTGGTTTGTGTAAATGTCAGACTAAATTAAAGCAATTTTCAGTTCAAAATATGGGGTACTTACCTGCAAATATCTATTATTCATATTTTTATCATTTTCTCAGAAACAGTAAGCCGTCTCTAAAAAATTCAAAGAACTTTCCAGCTACCTCTTCCAGGCAACAACTCAGTTATCCTTTCTCCTGCCTCTCGGTTACTTGTGGCTGTGTAGAGAGATTAACAGTGTCTGCCCACCCCTCAGATGTCATCTCTTTCCTCCTCTAATCCATTCTCCACTTCCCTTGGCTCTACGTGCCTTTGATAATCCTCCCCTGTGCGTCCTTTCTGTGCCACTTGAGATGTCACAACCTGACCACAAGCTGTCTTTGTGGTCTCAACTCCTGCCCTTTGCCCCAGCTGGTTTGTTTGCCGTTCCCTGGAAATGTCATATCCACTGCTGCTGAGTCTAGTCCGAGTCATAGTGACCCTGTAGGACAGAGTAGAACTGCCCCATAGAGTTTCTAAGTCTGTAAATCTTTACAGAAGCAGACTGCCACATCTTTCTTTTACAGAGTGTGTGGTGGGTTTGAACCACTGACCTTTTGGTTAGCAGCCGAGTGCTTAACCACTGAGCCACCTTACAAATCTCTACATCTCCTCCATTGTCCCTTTGCTGGAATGCCCTGCCCCTGCTTCCCTTCCCAGAAGACTCAATTCAAAAGTCTCCCCTGAGCTAGCCCTTGTGCTGACCCACATAAGCAGCAATAGTGCTAACCAAACTTAAATATAATATACTAGTATATGTAAAATACACTAATATAATTATATAGGATAATATCTACTTTCTCCTTTGAACTCCTGTAAAAACTGGGTGGCTAAATGAACCAGCTTAGACATTACAGCCTAGAATTCTGAATTTGTACCCTTGACCAGTCACCAAAAATTAGAGGGGTCTTTGAGGGGGGTTCAAAGGATGGTTCCTTGTCAGTTTATCAAAACAATGTTAGCTTGTGACAACAAAGCACAGCCTCTCTTGAAGAAGGAGCAAGGGTGCAGAATTTGCTGGATTCTGTTCTTTGCAGATAACCTCTCAGCAGAGGCCAAAATAGCTACGGACCAAATCTTTCAGGGGCATTACACAGAGTACTGATGGGCTTACTAGGAGAAGGAGTTCTTATGGTTTAAGTGGGGGCAGAGGAACGCTGCTAAAGTGTTCTAATTTCCACAGACTTCAGATTGTTTCCATTAGAGAAAGGCCCTCTTCCTGATGGATTTGGCCCTTGATGCTTGGACACAAGATGTACCTACTCAGAGCATACTGCAGCACGCAAAATGAGTGTTTTTGTTTGGGATGCTTATAGTCCCTGAGGGGCCACATACATAATGCTTTAATTCTACCAGGTGGTGTCATTTTTTCTGGAAGCATTCTGGGGTAATGCTGCATGTGTATACTAGGGTATGTGCACTCAGAGCACTGAACTAATATTTTTTGGCAGATAATATTTTTGGCAGATCATCAATCTTATATAATGTTATATATTACATAATAATATAACTATAATTATAATTATACAGTGTAATATATAAGATACAATTACACAGTGTCTATCTACAGTAAAACCTGTGAAAAGTCAGAACCTGTATAAGGTGGAAACCTGTTAGAGAAGGAAAACTCAAAATAGTTTCCACTAAAATGAGTGACAGAACAGTTGTAAGACTGCACCTTGTCAAAGGCGGAAAATTTTCCAGACCTGGAAAAACAAGGTAGTCCCTCTGAGTTCCGGCTCTCACAGGTTTCACTGTAATATATAATCGCTCATAAAAAAAACCAAAACTCATTGCCATCAAGTTGATTCCGAATCATAGAGATCCTACAGAACAGAGTAGAATTGCCCCATAGGGTTTCCAAGGAGTGACTGGTGGATTTGAACTGCTGACCTTTTGGTTAGCAGCTGAGCTCTTAACTACTGCACCACCAGGGCAGTATAATATAATAGCTTATGTTACATTTAAATTGCACATTGTGCTTGGCATTTTTCCTAGCACTTTACATATATTAATTAATTTAATCCTCATAACAACCACATAAGATAATCATCATTATTGCTCTTATTTTACAGATGAGGAAAGTGAGGCAGAGGGAGGTTAAGTAAGTTGCTTAAGGTCACACAGCAAGCCAGTGGCAGAGGTGGATTTAAAAAGAGCCATCTGTCTCCCATCATCCCATCAAGGGGTATTGTGGGTAAGAAGTGAATTAATGTATGTAAATTGCAAGCACAGGGCCTGACACTTGGTGAGCACCTTGCAAATATCAGCTATTGTTACAATTGTTAGGATTGGATTGTTACAATTCAGAAAATATTCACTAAATAACACTATGCTGGGAGTATGCTCTGGGAATGATTCCTGGGACATTTGTTGGAAAGAATGTCTTGCTAATTCATCACTGGCTGTTGCAAGCTTGTCCTAAAATTCTGAAGTATGGGTGTTTGCTAGGTGGCAAGAAAAATGCAAGCATGATCAAACTCTGCCATTGCATTTTGCATGATCTTGTATGATTATCACTTGTTGTTGTTAGGTGCCATCAAGTTGATTCTGACTCATAGCAACCCTATGTACAACAGAACAAATCACTACCTAGTTCTGTGCTATCCTCACAATCCTTGTTATGCTTAAGCCCATTGCTGCAGCCACTGTGTCAATCCATCTTATTGAGGGTCTTCCTCTTTTTTGCTGACCCTCTACTTTACCAAGCATGATATCCTTCTCCAGGGTCTGATCCCTCCTGATAACATGTCCAGAGTATGTGAGACATAGTTTCACCATCCTTGCTTCTAAGAAACATTCTGGTCTTCTTCCAAGACAGATTTGTTCATTCTTTTGGCACTCCATAGTACATTCAATATTCATCTCCAACACCACAATTCAAAGGCATCAATTCTTCTTCAGTCTTCCTTATTCATCATCCAGCTTTCACATGCATATGAGGTGATTAAAACACCATGGCTAGGGTCAGGCACACCTTAGTCTTCAAGGTGACATCTTTGCTTTTCAACACTTTAAAGAGGTCTTTCGCAGCAGATTTGCCCAATGCAATGCGTTTTTTGATTTCCTGACTGCTGCTTCCATGACTGTTGATTGTGGA